AATGAACTCTGGAACATGATGAACTAGGGCATGCATTTTTGTTGTGTACCGTACTCCGACTTTGGATAGTTCTACTGCGAAACGTTGAATATTTTCGGCATAACTTATACTTAGAGTTTGCCCAAAGCAACTGGAAACTACTTCGTCAAAATAATTAAACAAATTGAGGTATTTGTTTCCTAAAACCAAATGTATAAACTTTAATACATTAAAGACGAATATATATATCGCACATGGGCGACAACAGTGTCATAAGTTTTTCATTCTTTTATTGTTGAATACGAATATGACGAACGTATGACTGGCCCCATCGGCAACGCCTTACACTGATTTCCCAGGGTTATTTTACCCCCTTTCAGTTCTCCTACGTATCCCGCCACTGCACAGCATTGCCTGTGTTTGGTGGATCCGAATTTTTACCCCGGCTGGTAAATCTCGCCTAGAAGGTCGTAAATGACAGTGTCGATGGTTAAGGCCTCTTCCAGAATTGTTTCGCCTAGTCGGCTAGGATGGAAAATATTTTGATTTTTGAGGGACATTGAACTGACATTGAACTGACCCAAAAACCAAGTACAATCCGGAGTTCCCCTCAACCAGGGATTTAGTAATTACCCCATTCAATTGGGGTTCATGAATGGTACCCCATTCAATTGGGGTTCATGAATGGGGCTTGGTTTGTTAGTACGCTGCTAGAACCTATCCTGTTCGTATGTGTCCGTGTCTCTGTCCGAGTCGGATTCCAAGCTTGCTGACGATAACGTTGCACCCCACTGTGCGGTTATTATTTCGTATAGAACGTAATTTATGGTTACCTTAAATGTGCTTAGTAATCTACAGATGTTTATTTCTTTAGGATGAGTTTCTTTTGCCTAGTGTTTATTTAATTGGAGTGTTTAATTACTGCTTATGTAAGCCCCCATTTATGATTTCTTGGGCTATGCTTCTTGTTCTTATAGAAAACTGTTGGCGATTAATTAATTTCTACCTGGTGGAGTTTTTTATAAGTTAAGGTTGCGAATTTCGCATTAAAATTTAGTAATTGGGTATTATTAAGGTCATCCAATTTTGGTAGGTTTACCTATCCAGTTAATGCGGACCAATAGCCTACTATTAGCATGTGTTATTTCTGGGTTGGTAATCCAGGAAAAATTATTCGTTGTATGCAATCACCTCACTCACAGTCTTTTTGACAGGTAGACAGGACAAAACTGTTAAGAATAGACGTGACTTGATAATTAAAACTTAATTTAGAAAATATACGGTTTTGTCAATCTACAGAGTCTTAAACTTATGGTAAAAAGCATCTTTTTCTTTAAACCTGTATATTATAAACGTTAGTCTATTTTTAGTAAATTTTTAAAATGTAAGCGTTTCTCCATTAATTTATCTACAATATTCTTTAATGGTTTAAATCCGAAATCAAATAATAAAGTTATTTGCGATTGAAATTCATCGAAAATTTGTGTGGATTGATTATTTTGCCTGTGAGTGTATTTCGTGAAGTAAGATTTTTTTTAGAACAAAACTATAGGATCTACAAAAAACTTTTTGAGACGCTTTAACTTAAAATTAAACGCTCTATTATCCTCGAGATTATCCTTAAAAAAAGTTTTTTTTTAATTTAATATTTTTAGTGTTTAGAAAAAATTACAAACTTTTGACAAATTTTGGGCCACTATCTAAAAGGCCCTACATGAAGGATTTTAATTTCCAATTATATATTTATATATTATTATTTTCCAATTATATATTTTTTTTCTGAAATCGTCTATAAAATTAACCGTGCCTCATAACAAAGTAATAGTTTAATTCTTAATCATCATGACAACAAACAACAATGTTGGAAAATGCCAAATTTAAATGTCAAAATTTGTTACTTTAGGTTATAGGTTATTTATTTTACGTCAAACAGGGACTCCCTGTATTTTTTTCTATCCAGTCTGACGTAAAATATATAACCTATAACTTAAAGTAACAAATTTTGACATTTAAATTTGGCATTTTCTAACATTGTTGTTTGTTGTCATGATGATTAAGAATTAAATTATTACTTTGTTATGAGGCAATGTTGCCTTATAAAGAAAATATGACTCCCCTGTATCTTATTAAATAATGAAGAAAGAATTTTTTAAACAATTTTCTGGAATTCCGGGGGGTCTTTAGATAATACACCTTCATTTTGTCGCACTAATTGTGGGACACCCTGTATAATATACATTGTATATATATACCTAGCACGTGCTAAGTATATTTCATAAATTAATTATAAAAATATATTTAAAAATACGATAATTTTTAAGCCTTGGTAAGATAAATCCATTCCCAAAACTTAGCAACACTTATGGTATATACCATGCAGAGCTGTTCCGAGTACAAGAAAAAAGTGCTCGAGTAAAAGTACAAGTACTTTGAAAAAAATGTACTTGAGTACAAGTACAAAGTACTTTTTCCAAAAACTCTTAAAATGTAATATAGGTTTCAGTATCTAGCAAAAAAAGTTGTTAAAAGTTAAACATAACAAAATATCAGGTTTAGGTCACTTAGGGATATTAAAAAAAAAATGCATTTTTATATTTCTTTAATACACGTATTTATTTATGTTTTGAATATTTTTTTTCCAAATAACCAATTATTTCGATTTTAAACAGAAAAAAATAATATTAAAATAGATTAATTATTCTTTATTACCTATAGCCTATAGGTGTACCTATTCATGCAAGTAATTTATTAAATATTTTATTTAATAAATAGCCTAAACATTATTTAACTCCAAGCACGAAATTAAATTAAAGTAACATGCATTTATGACTGCAAAAAAACAAGATTGAATGCAAAAATATAACCTAATTTTTTAGGCGTAGGGGAAGGTGGGGGAATTCTGCGCATCTAAGCAAAATCTCTAGTATCTTTGTTAAGTTTAAATGTGAAATTTTGCAATTAATACCAGCGATAGTCTACTATGTTTACTATGTGTATACATATAATTTATTAAAAAAATGTTTGGTATGCAAAAACTACATTTTTTTAAATAATGCATTTGCGCAAAATTACCCACCTATCAGGGTAAATTTGCGCTGTATAGAGAAAGATTTGTAGGTATCGAAATAAACCGTTTATTTCTATAATATTATTATAATAAAACATAAAAATAAAACAAAACTATTTTCTCTATGAAACAAACAAAACAAACAAAATAAAAAATAAATAACTAAAAGTAAAATTTTTCTTCTTAGAAATAAGAGGGTCTACATGCAGCATTTGTCACATATGTCGTTTTAGGGGTTTTTTTTTCGCTACACTCCGCGTGTGCCCAAATGGAACTGTTTATGCTGAACAATCTAGGCTCCTGTATACCAAAGCTTCCATATTGGCCAAATTTTGCAACGCAAAATTACGCCAATTTTTCAGCGTAAAATTACCCCCATTGCAAGAAAAATATTGTGATACTAAAAAACTTTCCAAAAGTTAACCTGAACAATTTAAACATACACCAGATTACGAGGAAAGATCATATAAAGTTGTGTTATAAACATTTAAGCGATTGGACAGAAATTTAAACTTAACTCGTAGCGGAAACGACATGGATTTCTTAGATCAAAGTACATGTATCACAGTTAGCTAGTGACCATGGTCACTAGCTAAAAGCTACAAGCTAAATTGCGGTACACTTTAGTCCCCGTATACCCAAAGCAACGTTTCCAAGTTTGCAACATTCAAAATATGTATTATTTACTTCATATCTGGAAGAATTGTTTATGCGTAAAATTACCCACCGCGCAAAATTCCCCCACCTTCCCCTACCTACCAAATATAACAAAAACTTAATCGAGTAGGTAATCAAATACAAAATAATATTTAAAATCCTACTTACCCCAGTATAACAAAAACCAAAACACTTAAAATAATACTAATGCACATTCTGTATTGCAAATTAATCTCAAATTTCTTTAAAAAAACGTTACATATGACATTATGACGGCACTACCAGAGATAAAAACGGGCACTACCTACCTCTTGTAATATGTAATATCTCTATAAAGAAGGGCACCACAATGATATTTTACCAACTTGCCCATATCGAGGATTTATTTCGAATATTGCAGAACTGTTAAACTTTAGCTGCTAAAGCATTATAATTATGGCGATAAATTTGAATATGTAGTGCCACTATAGTAGTGGTTATGTTAACTTAACACAAAGATGCCGAGTACAAAAAGCACTCCAGTACATTAAATGTACTCAAGTACAACACAAGTACTCGAGTACATCAAATGTACTCGAGTACTTAAAATGTACTCGAGTACAAAAAATGTACTCGAGTACAACCAATGTACTCGTGTCCATTTTTACATTTTTAAATTAAATAAGTACAAGTACAAGAACTTTTTTGAAATGTACTTTGGACTGAGTACCGAGTACATAAAAAGTACTTAAAGTACAAAATTTGAGTACAAGTACTCGAGTACCGCACAGCTCTGATACCATGGCAACACTGTTATGCACTTATAGTTCAGAGAAAAACCTTAAGGTTATAAATTTAAATTATGGCACTATGACATCAAATGCATTTCTGTGAAATCACCTGGACCTCACCTGGAGCTCATTAGCTAAATCATTGATGAGCTCATCCTGAGTTCTTGATGAGATCATTTATGAAATTAATTTCACAAATGATCTCATCAAGAACTCAGGATGAGCTCAGCAATGATTCAGCTAATGAGCTCCAGGTGACGTCCAGGTAATTTCACAGAAATGCATTAAATTTTGATGTCATAGTGAGTTCACTGTGAGCTTACGCGATGATTATCACTGAGTGATTTTTTAATGAGTCATAAATGTTATCTGGGTAGTAAATAAACAAATATTAAATTATGAAAACAATTTTGGACTTTAGGAAAAATACAAAATAAATAAATTATTTTTAGAAAAATGGCATAGATTTGCAGTAAAAAATTGCAAAGGTTTATTTTAATTGAACCATTTTTTTTCAATGTTTACAGTAAATCCCTACACCAATTACTATGAAGAAAGGTATTGGGCTTCTTACGCAGCGCTATCTATGTCGTATCAACAGTACAAAAGAAAAGGTGGACAAATTCGATTCACAACCAGCCAAACTGATGTTTTGGAAAAAACATTTTTAACACACAAATATTTAACACCAGAACAAAGAAAGATACTGGCAGAAAATCTCAAACTATCAGATAGACAGGTAAATGTTGCTTGTAGGAACATTCTTAAACATCAAGTTAATAAAAAAGTGTTTTCTAAAAAAGATTTTTTTTATTTAGGTAAAAACTTGGTTTCAAAATAGAAGGGCCAAATGGAGGAGAAGTACCGGTTCCACAAGTACTGATATTCAAATGGATAAAGATGAAGAATCACATGAGGATGTTTTTGTGGACTGAATAAAAAAATCTTGTGATTATTGTAAATATGTTTTTATTATATGTTTAAGTGTTGTTTAACATAATATTTGTGTTATAGTAATTAAATTGACCTATATTTATAAATAATTACTTAATAAATCACATAGTGCAAGCTATAAATTACAAAATACACATTTTATTTAAGGTTATAAACACTTTTAAAAAATGTTAAATAAGAAAATGCAGCCTTTAACACCTAAAAATTAAAAAATATTATTTGTTTTCGATAACAAATATTTAACAGTATTTTTACACTTATGTAAGCTAAGTTGGACATTTCTCCAAAGGGTCCGATCGCAAGACTTAAAGGCTTCTGAGCTCTCATTATCATTATTTGTACCAACATTTTAAATTTTTTATCACGAATATACCAATTAGAATGTAAATATAAGGACATAGCCAACTGCATACTCTAAAAATAAATGTTTTTATAAATATGGGCAAAATTAAAACACCACTTCTATAAAATTCAAATAAATCTTGAAATGTAATTCATAATATAACCACTTTTATGCTTTAGAAATCATTCGAAAATCCATACTATTTTGACATGAGGGATACACAGCAAACGGAAAAATATAGAATTGTATAGGATGACTCCCCGTTTGAATACTAAATCTTAACGTTTTATCAGAACTGTATTGAATCGTGCTTTGTTTTTATATTTTTCGCCTCTATACCTATGCACGACTATAGTTAAAGTCAAACTCAATGGTGTCTTGCAAGATACATTATTTTGATTTTCTATATTCAACAGAGATGTAGAAACTCGACCCTGTCGAATGGTGCAGTAATTTATGTCTCTAGAAATTATTGAAAAAGGGTTCAGTCCAATGGTGCAGCAACTTCGGATTCCTATTCTCTTCAGAGACATAAAAACTCAAGCTTTTCGAATTTTACTGGCAATGATTTTCGTTAATGACCCTGAGAATTATACAAAACCAGCGCATGCGCTGGTTTTGTATAACCGTTGCGATATTGCATTGCAATGCAATATCGCAACGGTTTCGACTTCTCTTTACTCTACCAAGTTATAGAAACTGGAGTCTCTTTAATACTGTTCTAGTCAATATTTCTGAGAGTATAAAAAGAGGGTGTAATTCAAAATTGCAAGAAGTTTTGATCTTTTGATGGATGCAAGTAGTTTGAATATTCCCATTTCTGCATATGATTTTGTTGAAAATAGTTCCTTTCTTTGGTTCCTTTGTCTGATTTTTATTTACCGTAACAACTCAGGTGTGTAAAGTACAGAGGATATGATGTAAAGTATATTTATGTATTATATATAGTAGGGGAGAGTGGGTAGAGTCTGGACACTGGGAGACAATGGACAATGGACGAATTCCGCGGTTCCAGTAAAAATTTCAGGTTGGTTCTACTATTACACATCGTCAAGTTGGTAAGGTATCAAATAGTGGTAGTGAAATAAGTTTGAGTTTAGCTGTAGAAGAGGTAAGTGGAAAAGTTAATTTTCGAGTTTTTCATGTAATATTTTACTTTCCCCTTGTAAGCTTTTCTGCCCAGACCGTTGTAGATAAATAATTTAAAGTTACTACATATTAAAGCATGTATAAAGCATGGAACTTTTGTTATATCCTTACTTTATTCCGTTGCTATATTTTGAAATTATGAACATTTTTTTTTGTTTCACATCATGTAGGGAGAGTTTGGACACACTGCCTAGAGTCTTCCTCTATGGTCCAAACATAGTCCCGGCACTTCGTTAGCAGAATATTGCAAAAATTAAACCAAGGATATACAGTCAAATTCCTTAAAAGGCAGTTTCTATCATACAGATCTAGAGAAACACATGAAGATGAAGCCTTGGTGGATTTTAAGGACGTGGTATTGGTTCTTCCCCCCCACTGACGGAGTTCGATTCCATAACATGATTTACTTTAATTTTAATTTGTCGCAATTTAGTATTGAATAAGTTTTGCTCCAAATGCACCCCGTACGTTGTCCAGAATCTCCCCGTATGTGGGGTGACTTTGGACAGATGACCGAAAATTTTCAAAAATTCGTAGCAAACCCACCTTACGGTTTAAAGTGCACATATTTATCTCTTTGCGTTTTCAAAAGTTAACACTATTACCTACCTGAAACTTTGAAATTAGAAATAATTACATTTCTAAGAGACCCAGGCAAAAAAATCTAAAAATTGTCCAATGTCTACCCACTCTCCCCTACCTATATTTGTATTAAAAATTTCAGAGGTTTTGTTGAAAAAATGATCGATATGCTATTAAACTTTAAAAATATAGTAATGAGGTCTGTTGGTAGACCCTGCACATATCCACTGGTAGTTTTATGTTAGAACAGCAATATTTAAATCAGGTTGATCAAAAAGTACACACCAGTGCAGGTTATTGTAGCATCTACGAACAAATGAATTAATGGCCCATTGGCAATTATTCCTTTAGAAAAAATATTCAACACAGCTTAATTAATTAATAAAATGAAAAAAATCACAATGTCGTATATAGTTTTTTTTTCAAAAAAAAATAATTTTCATATTAATACTAGTTCAAAAGTCAAATTACGACCTCTATACTGTGGAGAGTATTGAAACGCTCGAGTGACGAATACAACTCTATACCGTGGCGAGAGTTTAGAAATAGTAGATTATGTCATAAGGAGTAGAAGCGACTCTTTTTGTGGTGAGTACAGAGATTGACGGCCGAAGCGTAGCTGAGGCAGGCAACTGTACGAAGCACAAAAAGAGCTTCTACTCCAAATAACATATACAATTTTTTTTTCAAGGGCGTAATATAAATAGGATAAGCAATGGAATTATTTTATTTACTCTTAACTCATGCGGTATAAAATTTTGGCTAAAAGCATTAGAAATTATTGATAAAAACTAAAAAAACTTATAAACCTTACTTACAATGCCGATAAATATCCTAAACCATGGTTTTTCTATGTCCTAAACTAAAAATAAACCCTGCTCTGTCAAAATGCTGCGCTTGAATTAATTTTGACGTAGGTACTGACATTTGTTTGGAGTTCCGACATTGGCAACTCGTCTATCATCATAATATTATACTAATAAACTAGTTGTTCTTTATTTCGTTCAATTAAAATTTAATAAATAATCACTAAATATTCCGTGCGATTATAATTAATATAATTAATACAACGTAATTGCTTTGTATGAAATGCTAAATTAATTTTATTGTTTGACGTCTATTGAGACACCTATGGATTTACTTCTATCCCTAGGCTTTTTTGAGTTTTTTGTCTGCCGCTAATGAAAAAGACGCACTTCAACTATCTCTATACAGGCATATAAGGTTGTATATCATGGCCGCTTGAAAAAAAAATGTATTCAAACGTGGCGTCATCCAATCACAGAAATAGAAGGTGCATCCAATCCACTTCTATATTTTTCCGTTTGCTGTGTAGTTTATCAACGGTGACAGGCTTTGACAAACTTGTTTAGCAAAGTGTATAATTACGAATTTAAGCCCACTTTTTCACAATTTATAATAAAGCTAATTTCAACTCGTGCTAAAACGCCATAAAGTCACAGCTTGTCAATTTAGGAGTAGATAAACAAAGTTCTCTTTTAATATTTTGAAGCATATATGGATAGCGCTTATCTAAAAGGAACCAACCGCCAACTTTTAAAATTGAGTAAACTGGGTTTAAAGTTTTTAAAGTATATAAAATTCATTTGTAATTGCATAAGTCCAGTTTTGGCGTTTTATTACGGTAAAATGATTAACTTAAATAAACCTAATGAATTTTTCAAAATTTAGTGTTGCTATTTGGTAATACAGGTAAAAATGGCGCTTAGTTCCTTTTTGATAAAAAGGAAATTTTAGACATGGATCTCTTTAAACACTTTTTAGACAAAATAATAAAATAACATAGATCGTTTGACTTATTTTGTACATAAACGTTTGATTTATGTTAACTAATTAGACTTGGGCATAAAATAAAAATAAGACAAAAGCTGTAATATTTTTATAATAACTTCAGAAAGTTTCGTGATAAACAAAAAATACAAGCCATTGTTTTCAACTAAAAATAAACAAACATTGTTCGACTAATTATTAGAAAATAAAAGTAAAACTTTTTAATAAGTAATTCCTAAATTAACGGCAAAAAATCAATATTTTCACCAAAACCATCTACATCGTCCTCAAAATCAGCTGCATTTAAGTTTCTATAAAAGTCTATAACATCGTTAGGAACTAGTGCCATCAAACTTTTGCTGTGGCCGCTATATAAGCAGTTTGGGCATTGTAGTTCCCTAAACCCCAAAACTGTTCAAACACATTTTTTCTGACTTCTTGTGTTACCTTCTTGTTACATTTTAATGTGCAATTGCACAAAAGTCTATAAATTCCTTAGGTTCTACCTTTTTTCCTTTAATGCTATAGTGTTTCTTGTTTGAGTCTCTTAATTGCTTTCTGTTTTTAAAAGTCTATCCGGGATAGCTTGTTTTTCTTCCCTTTTTAGGCCTCCCCTTTCTATTTGACCTTTCTTGGAGTAATGCTAAGTTTCTTTGTATATGCTCTAAATTTTCCTCCTCGATTTTCTCCAGAGTGGAATCTACACCAGAACTACCTGAACTTTTAGAAATCGGGTCGTATTCACTTCCAGAGTCCTCGAAGTCGGAAAAATGTGCAAAGTCTTGTTTATTTATCTGAAAATAAATATGTAGGCAGGTCCAATAAACATTTTAATAAATAACTCACATTTTTTTTAGGCAAAGTGTCAATTGGGCCAATTTCCATTAAATTGGTTTCAAAGTTGCCATTATCATTTATTGCTATATTTATTTTGTTTAGCTCTTTATCTGCATCTTTAGCCTTATTTTTGGCACTGCAACAAGCATCTGGACTCGTAGCACTTCTTTTACTCATATTTCTATCAAAAATTCGTTTCGAAACAAGCCATAAACAAAAAATAATAACACAAATATTTTAATGTCAAAAGGGAACCAAGCGTCACGATATTTGTCAAAATAGCCTTGTGCGCCTTGGATCCGTTCAGAGAAATATAAAAACAGCAGTTTTAAACCAGCAACTTGGTAACCTCAGGAAAAAATGTTGTTACAA